ATTCCACACGTGTGGATCAGCAGTCTGTGATGTCAGGTCACAGGTCAGTGGTTAGTTACCATCAAGAAGTGGAACAGAGAGCATCATACGGGTATCTGCGTGTTTGTCATTTGGGACCCCATCCCAACCCACTTTTATATTCATTATATTTTTCCTGTATAAAATAATATTACTACGAATGTTCAAATATTTTCTCTGATCGTAAACAATTAATTGTATGGCACAAATATGGTACTGGTCCCTAGCACACTGAGAAGACTTGTTACGTCAATGATGATTGGCCTTAGAATGAATAAGACATCATGTCTTCATGTTTAGTACAGATAGTCTCAAAATGCCCCTGAAATAGGACATATCTCAAAAGATTTTCCTGGGGGGGGGGGGCAATAGGCCCCGGGATTGGCTCGCTTCGCTCGCCGGTCCGTGGCACATTGAAAAAAAAAACCATGCCAGTCCGCCACATCAGATAGTTTGAGAAGCGCTGGTCTATGTCTTCCAAAATTAACAAGTAGAATCCTAACAGTGCTAACACACAGCATAAGCAAAAGTTTTAGCTGGTTAATCTGTCAGTATCTTTAGCCTCTTGAGTTGGGTAGTTGGATAGATGTGAAGTGAGGAAGGAAGAGGTTAATATTGAGGGAATATTGATGGTAGTGAGTGTGAGGGTTGACTGCAGAAGACTTGAATACATGTATAATGGGAATATCAGTGAGTGTGTGTGTGACATGTATTAAGTTATGTGAGGAGTGAGAATGAATGTGAGAAAAAGATGGTGTGGTGTGTAAGGAGGATAAACAAGGCTGTAATGAAAGAGGTTTGCACGTGTGAATACAGTATGTGTGTAGGAGATTAAAAGGGAGAGGGGTAGCTCAGAAGGGATATTAATAATCATGGAGTGTGAAGAAGAGTGGGTTCCTATCATCATTATGAAAATAACTTCTTGTATTTACTGTGCACTTTCATCAGATATGACAGAAATAGTAAGATCAATTTAATATAAAACATGGACTCAAGTGCCATTAATGGAGTAAGAAAATTGTTTAAATACTGTATACCTCACTATCATGGTGCAATATTTAACAGTGCAAGTAACACTGTGTGGTTCTTTTTTCACTTCATATATCTTGCTCAAAGATCTGCTAGTTTTGAGAATAAACAAATATAAGTACAGTAATGTGCCAGTGTGTTCAATGTAAAAGACCCCAACGCCTTGTCATGAACAAACTACTGTATAGGAAGGGGAGGGAAGCCCAAACACTTGGTCACTATTGTGGTGTCCTTATTTCAGCTTCGTAGTACAAAAAGTGCCAGAGATATCACCTAGACAGCAATGCAAGCAAGAAAGGGCAAGCCCGTCAAGCAGCACCTGGAGACAAAATGAGGGGGGGAAGAACCAACATTCTGAGCCAGTTGTCATAACCATTTGGAGTCCAATAAGATTGTATCCCTTTGCTATTGTGGCAAATGTATAAACGAATCATAGGCAATAAAAAATTCTCTCAAGCGCTGCATCATGTTATGTACTGTATACTTCATCTAGGATATAATTTTTTTTTTTTTTGTGAATCATGCTCAAGTTGAACAAAATCTACATTCCAAGATCCTTAAATGAAGTTTGTGGAAAAAAATGCTGTACACATATTATCAGTGAAGAAATACAGGTACAGCGTAGTCCTTTCTATACACACTCCCGCTATATGTAGCTTCACATACGTGAAATTCATAAATTATTGAACACTTTTCACTATGTGCTGCATATTTTTGCTGATAAGCATTTGTTCCTGTTGTGCTACTTTGGACAGTACCACTCCACTGAACAGGGATCACTGTAAGTACTGTACTACCCAGGACATGAGGTGTGGGACAAGTCCTTCATACTTTGTGACTTCTGTTGGTAGAAATTTTTCTTAAAACCTTTCTCAAATTCTACAATATGAGAGTTAAACAACCTTCATCTATTTCAAAAGTACTTCAGCTACGAGGGTTTGTCAGTCTAGTATTTTAGAGGTGAAATTAAAAGTGGTTAAAAAGTATGAATGCGGGGAAGTCTAGTGAACCTTTTTGTGGAGTTGGGCTAGCTCCATCGATTGTGCAACCAAATGATTAGCAGAAATATTCAGCAATATTAAAGAAGCAAAAGCAATTTTGATGGAGGATGACCCAATAAGGAGTTAAGAATGAATGCTGGTTGAGCATTGGAGGATAGAGTGCCATGCTGCAGAGAACTGTATGATAGAAAGAAAGGAGAAGCTGTCCAAACTTTCCTTTAACCTTATTCAATTTTTTTTTCATACACTTCCAGGAAACTCCATCAACAAGCAGACAAACTTCAGAAGTTCAGTCACCAGCCCCAGCAAAGAATGAGACTTCGTCACCCAACTTCAGATGAGGACCCACATAGTCCTGCATCTACGGCACACTAACCTCCAACCCCACAACTCTGGGCCTTAACAAACACCCCACTCCAATTTTTGGTGAATATGAATGAATTAATTCATTTTTTAATGTACTGTACACTCCCTATGGTGAGTATTCATTCAGTTATGTTCTGTATTGATGTCTTGTATTAATTTGGTTGCATTAGGTATCTAAAAATCAGCTCCCCCCTCAAATGCATTCTCCACTTTATAACACAAAGTTTCAAGGAAAATTGCTTTCATCACAATTTTTTTAATTACACATCACTTCCATAGCACGCTTCCCTTTCCTATATTGACAACTGCATGTAAATAACAGACAGTTACAGTAATAAACGACAGGTACAGTGAAGTTTGTTGAACACACCACAGCCCCACTGGTACAGAAATCAGTAAAACAGCTTAAAATATATAACCAGTTAATTCCAGGATGAACGTAAAATAAAAATAAGCTCCCAAGATTTTTTTCAATAAACCTGAGTGAAAAGGTATAGCCAATATGTAGAGCGCCAGGTGTAAATCAATACTGTATGACAATTCCCTCCTGTATAACACTGGGGCAAGAGAAATGCTAAACAACTTGACCAGAATTTACTTGTCCTACTTTAATTTGTGTAAGTCTTCTAATGAAACTTGAGAACATACCCTGTGTACAGTGTGACCTCAGAAATGCTGGTTTTAGAGATTTTTTGGCTTTTAATAACAAGGCCCTTCCCCCAACCCAAACTGACCTATTTCTAAGTTTCTCAGGCAAACTGAAATTCAGTTTGATGATGCTCAGCTATTAGGCATAATTTCATAAAAAAATCACATCCAGTACAGTATTGGTAATTGCATCCAAACTACACATTACTTTGCCAGAACAATGTGAAAATGGGTGAAGGTAGAGGTGATGTGGGGTGATCCATGCATGGTGGTCGGCTGACAAAAAGCTTTGAGATGGTTGGTGTGGACACAATTTCAATAATACAGTAGTTTACAGCATAATATATTTCATAAACAGTATTGTATACTGTATTTGCATGACTGTATTTTATGTTATCTTTTATAATTTTTTTAAGTACTGTATTTCTGTAAAAAAAAAATTGGGAGGGGGAGAGGAGATATGGCTGTGAGAATAATCATCAAATTGTTTTGAGGACAACTGCTCATGAGTGTTATGCTTACAAGTACCGTACTCAACTAATACTGAGCGTGGCTTAGGTAGTGCAAATTCTACATATTTTTCATTAATATTTTATTATTTCAATAATTATCAATTTATTAAACATAATTGTCATACTGCTTGTTTATTAATTTAATTTATTCACTATGATGTGTATAAAATTTGATACTAGAGTTGGTGGTAGTACAGCTATAACATGCACCTCTTTCACCACCAAGTCCTGCCCCAAGACAGATAAGGAAAGGGTGTCATCCAGTGAGGCCCTGACGACCATCGCAGGTTTCCTCCCATACTTACAATGAATAATAAAGTTCATAACAAAGAATAGATCAACGCCTTAACGGTTGGTAAGTGGTGAAATGATAAATTAAATTAGAAATTAATGAGGTTAAGTTGCAGCATAGGCTAATGTACCATTATAATGTATTGACTGTCTATTTAAAGGATATTTCTATTATCCAGCATGACCCTGGTTCCAAGGCTGCTAGGTGATAGAGGGTCAACCTGTACATACAGTATAGTAGAGTACAGTACTGTACTGTACTGTATACAGTACAGTATATATATATATATATATATATATATATATATATATATATATATATATATATATATATATATATATATATATATATATATATATATATATATATATATATATATATATATATATGGTTCATATCTGTTGAAAATAATTACCATAAGGTCTGGCAGTCAGAATTTTTCGATATGTTTTCCTTCGTATTTTCAGAAATCTATCTTGTTAACTATCATTACAGATACTTTACAGTGTACTTTATCATTTTACCACTTACTGGTACAGTACATACACAATATTACTCTAATAAATACTCATTCTTCAAAACATTTCACATTCCTGTTTTGTGAAAGAAAAAGAGAAGCAAACTCTCTACTCTTTAAGATGGATAAGAAGTTGGAGATTGGTGAAAGAAAACGACTTTGGTCAGGTCACTGGCACCACACCAACTACTCTTTGTCTGGTCTCATCTTGAAAAAGATGATAGTAATGTTTCTTTGCCTATGTATTCGAACATCAATTTAAAACATTATACCTGTATACGTGGAAGCTCTGTAACAGTGAAGAGAAAGAACTAAAAAAATTAAAATAAATATGATTCATGCATAAGCATTACTTCTCTGTGGAAGGATAATACTGTACTGTATTATGAATACTCACCAGGATTAATTACTGTACAACTATAATAACACTTGAATGCCCCAAAAGGACTGTTCTACTTTTGAAATGTCATTAAACAATTGCAGCTGGGTGGCAGTAACAATTGTACAGATCATCTTGAAGAAATTTACTATCCATCGAGGTTGACTCACTTTTACAGACACAGAGAAGTAAGGCTTTGACAAACTACGGCAGAACAAGAAAATATATTAACACTCACTCTCGAGGAGTCGTGAAGCTGTGAAGACTCTGTCATTTCAGTATGGAGGGGAAGCTGCATTGTTAAGGGGTCACCACCAGTGGGGACAACTCCTGGGCCACTCCCTGACCCCCCCATGCCCCCCCCTCCATCTTCATAACTCTGGTTGCTTCCTTCCCATGTCTCCGCAGTGACACCTGCACTTGATGGTTCTAGTTTTATAGTCTGGAAAATAACAGGGAAAAAATATTTGTATATAAAGCTTTTCTTGACTTTAATCTTAAGTCTGGAGAAAAAAAAATTGAACAATGAAATGGAAGGAAGAGATGCAACAGGCTGTTAGGAAAGTTTGAGAACGGTAAGACACCATGGATGGATGGAACCACTGAGGAAAAATTAAAGATGAGAGGTGAAGAAAGTGATAAAGAATAACAATGTTTTCAGACTATGCATGACAGGAATGAGAGCAAAGAAATGGCAGAAATCATGCACAGTTCACCTTCATGAAGAGTAGAAAGTGAGAATAAATGCAATACAGTAATAATAAGAGGACAAACTCTGTTCACCATACCAAAGAAGTGTGGTTGAATTATTACTAATGTCAGTGAAGTGTAGAGATAAAAATAGAACAAGAGTGTGGGTTCAGAGAAGAGGGAGGATGTGTGTGGAAGAAGTGTCTGCATTAAGGAGTACAGTACCCATACAGTGGTCCCTCGGTTAACGAGCGCCTCGGTTAACGAGATTTCGGTTAACGATTTACCTTCCATAAGATTCTTAACTTCGGTTAACGAGCAATCCCTCGATTAACGAGTTTTTTACAACAGGACTTCAACATGTTTTCGCTTGCATTTGGCGGTCCACCAGCTGTTGTATTAGTCCGCCAATACAGTAATCGGTTTTAGGGCTTAAATTCCTTACTATTTTCGTAAATATCAAGAAGTTTATACTATTCAATAATTTTAAAAGTTTAATATTAACTTTTTTAGTCATTTAACAATTATTGAACATAATTGAAGGTAAAGAAACTAGTTTCTGGCGAGCCATCCAGCCTGTTAACACACCAGACAGACGTTAGTCTCTCTCTGTTTTCAGTGGAGGTAACATCTTGCTTGAGACTCTCTTCAACTAAACGCTTTTTTTCTGTGTTTCCAAGCAAATTATTGGTCATTTTGAAATATATTTTACATATTGACAATATATAATGCAGTGCAGTGTTGATTTAAAGAAAATAATCTTGAATTACACCAAGAGAGCTAAAATTTTATGAGTCAAATGGCGCCATGGGGTGACTTCTCTTCCACCCCAATGCCTTCTCTTCTTCCTTCTCCTCCACCCCCATTCTAATTCCCATCATCATCATCATCCAGGAGCCTTCTACATACACACCTCAAAGTAAGTGTACTTTTCTACCTTTTTTGTTGAATTTAGGCAATTTTCGGCGAGCTGGAACCAATTACCCAAAAACCCATTGAAACAATGGTTTCGGTTAACGAGCAACCTGCTGGAACGGATTGTGCTCGTTAACCGAGGGACCACTGTACAAGTAAGGATCATATGAAGAAGGTAGGTATTATTTGTACTGTACAGTATTTATGGAGCTGGAAAAATAAGGAAGGAAGGAAGGAAAAGAGAGAAAAATATCACCTACTGTTTGCAAATAATATTACTCCAGAGTCTCAGGGAAATTCAGCAACAAATATGCATATATCAGTGAATGTACAGTCTGCACGGAATATTAAATCGCGATAGGGCCGACGAACTAAGTTCTCGCAAAAATAAAATCATATGTCGTGAAGGCTGTCCTGGGATGCGAGATGTCAAAATGCTTGGTTTGCTGGCAAGTGGATGACATTTGGCAACTGACCACACATCACGGTATGTAGTCAGTGCGTCTCTGGCAACTGTGAGGGGAAGATTTATTCTGCGGGTTCCCGCTCCATGTGGCCGTGTTTTGTCTAGTTTAAGGTGCATTAACCCGACATAGTGGACATCAGAGATGTCCAGGAGGGTTACTACAAGAGATGATATTGCAGCAGTGATTGCATTGTACAAAGCGAACCATGTACTGAAAGAAATTTCGGCTCAGACTGGTGTGGCATTAGGAGTTGTTCAAAATCTTGTCAAACGTTTCCGTGACCTTGGAGAGGACGAGTTACCAGCTCCATTACCTAAGTCTGGTAGGCCTAAATTATTGTCCCCACGGACACTTAAGGTTATTTCTCGACAAGTTCAGTCCAATCCCTCACTCACAGCACGGGAAGTGAAAGAGAGAAACCCCCGTCTTCTGAGTCACATCTCGTTACGTTGTGTTCAACAAGCCCTGCATGATGACCTGGACTTTAAGAGCTTTCGTGCCTGCCGTAAACCTCTGTTGACGAAGAGACAGAAGGAAAATAGAGTGAAATTTTGCAAGAAATATGAATTGTGGGATTTAGAGACGCGGAGAAGTATATTATGGTCGGATGAGGCTACGTTTTCTGTGACTGGTAGAAATGGAGGGAGGGTGTACCGCCCGCCCCACTCAGACGCGCACCTCCCACAGTACACTGTAAAGACTGTTAAGCACCCTGCCTCGCTTATGGTTTGGGCTTCCTTTACGTATTATGGTGTTGGTGAACTAGCAATCCTCCCTAAGAACCAGATGATGAATCAGTACAACTATCTTGAACTGCTCAGTGATTTCTTACCTGAATCATTTGATAAAGCTAAGGGAAGCCTTTTCATGCAGGACGGTGCCCCATGCCACACTGCTAAAAGTGTCATACAGTGGCTCAAAGACTGTGAGGTACCTTTCTTTAATGACTGGCCTGGCAGTAGCCCAGATCTTTAACCCAATAGAAAATTTGTGGTCCATTGTTAAGCGTCGTCTGTGCGCCATTGACACATCATCAATCCCGAAGCTAGAGGCAGCCATCAAGGATACCTGGGCTAACTTGCCACCTGACCTCTTGCAAAACCTTGCTGACAGTGTTCCTCGGAGGCTAAAAGACTGTCTAAAGCGTAGAGGAAACACTACAAAGTATTAATTGAAGTGTTACTTGACTTTATTTATATTACATAATCGTAAATACAGTCAACCCTCGCTTTACGCGGTCCCACATTCCGCGTTTCCACGTTTACGCGGTACCCTGCTGAAACCGGAATGCTCACATTCCGCGGTGCGTGTACCCCTTTACGCGGAGAGCGGCTGGCGAGCCGCGCCATTTTTGGATCCAAACCTCCCGCCCTCTCCCGCCATCCGCCATGTTGTGTAAGCGGAGCGAGCAGGGTGCGCACAAGGCCGCCCAGTCATCAAAACATTACCGAGTTCTTCACCCGCCACCCACCACAGCCGGCCCAAGTCAGTGATAGTGATAATTATAGTGAGGATATGGACTTATATGGACTTTGAGGGGTTTGACAAAGAGGCCCTGCAAGCCTCTGTGGTGGATAGTGATACAATTGATACAAGTGATACAGGTGAGGGCCAATAATCTGCCCTCTGCCTCGTAACCAACCCCCCATCCCCGTGTGCCCAGCCATCTTTTCGACTAATGTAAGTGTTAAAAAACCTAATATTATTGTTATTTCTCTTAATTATTAATTGTGTGTGCATACCATCATAAAATTAAGAAGTTATTTTTACTACAACGTAGGTATTGTGTCTGAAAAAGTGGAGTTTGGGGATCGGCCCGGTCTCTATTTCAATTAATCCCATATGTTATGTTGTTCACTTTACGCGTTTCTCACTTTCCGCGGTACCCTGTGGGTTGAATTAACCGCGTAAAGTGAGGGTTCACTGTATGCATATTTTTTCAGCACACAATCTCACAATCCGCGCAGACTGTAAGTGGCAGTGTGTATTAAACAAGTCAAAATAGTGAATATTAACAAAAGTAGTGATGAAAATAAGTAAAAATTGAACATAGAATGGAAAAGTGATGCCTCAGATATAGTACAGTATTTGCATATACTGTACGTTTATCAAAAAGTAGAACAATGGCTGTCAAACTGAATCATACATTAGCTGACAAAAAAGCAGATACCAGTACAGTAGGGTCGGGATATATCGCGAGATAGGGTCCGAGGATGTTCGCTATACTGTATACTAAATCGAGCTATATAATTACAGGTAGTAGGTAGTAGACAGCTACCAAACAGGGAGGTACTACCGCTTGGGAAGATATTGGAAGCGTAATGTACTGTCTAATGGTAGACCCTGCTGCCATATGGCATCACAAAAATTGTGACCAAGTCCCAGATTACTTATCTGTCTTTCTGCCTCATTTACACACAATTGCAGGGTCTCGATTGTTTCTTACTTTGACAACACAGCACACATACAGTATATTGTTTCTCACTATTGATCTTTTTTTAATTTTTGTATTTCTTTATGGTTCTTTATAATAATTATTATTATTATTATTATTATTATTATTATTATTATTATTACATTTTCACCCCCCAGGCCCCTAAGTGGGTCAGTGACCTGTGCCCGGGTGGGCTAATCCCTGTATATTAATAACAAAAATAAATAAATAAATAAATTGGGGTTAGGTTCTGGAGGCCAGTAAAAGTGACTAAACTTGACATAAAATGGCACAGTCTAAAGTTAGCAGAATATAAATTGCATTGCTGGAATCCTTGCAAGACAGCAAATAATTTGAATGTAGACATAATATATTTTGCACAAGAGATACATTTTTTAGTCTTTTGTACTCAAATGTACTAAATAATTACTAAATTTTTTATGTCTAGTGCAAACTATAGCATGTTTATATTCTAATTAGTCATTGTCTTACAAGAATTTCAGCAATGTTAATTATATTGTCTCGAGTCAATCCATCGACATTTTATAAGATAAAAGCGTAAACTCCCCCTATATGACATAAATAAATACCACGAGGTAACCGTGGCAGGCGGCTGGTGCCAGCTGTCATAATGCATCACCTCCTCCTCCACTTCTGGCAAGATTGAAAGTGGTTTTATGCTTAAAGTTTTTATCTTATAAAATATCACAGACTAAAGTTAGAATATAAATTGCATTGCTGGAATCCTTGCAAGACAGTGAATAATTTGAATATAAACAGCATATATTTTGCAAGAGATATTTTTTTCTCTTTCAGCGTACATTTAAGTACAGTACTGTACAGTTTTTAAACTTGTATTTTGGGGGCAATTTGGGGGATTTTTAGGAGTGTTTCTGACTTTATAAGGTTTTTGGCTTTATGTGAGGTCCCAGGAAC